TTAAAAAAATTGCGTTGTGAAGAGTTATTCAGTTTGGCTCTCTTTAACTTTTAAACACTGATTTTTGCTACTCCTTTATACAATCAAGTGATTTGAGTCCCACTTTTTTCAAGTTAATTCATGTTTCAAGTCAAAATATTAGCAAATTTATATTTACAACACATTTAATTTATAAAAAATGATAGCATTTCATTACTCATAAACAACTCATAGTGGAAAAATATAATTCAAAAAAGGTAATAGATAGTTTGTTGTGTAACAACTCACGTCATAGAAAAGCTTCATTTTCCATGTATTTTATTTCTTAATTTCTCATTTTATTTTCCAATAAAAAAAGCAGAATCTATAAAAGGAAAAATTTCCTGACCAACCAATGAACATGAAAGAAGAGCAAAACGACAAAGGTAATTTAATTATTCAAACCATCTATCCACTTCTCCAATTTCTACTGACTACTCCTACCTCACTCTCTTCTTTTCTATGTAACTCTTCCAGGTAATTTTTCCTTTTATTTGCCTTTAATTCTCTTCTTAATTTGTATTATTTTTCCTTTTCATTTTATAAGAAACTTAAAAACACTCTTTTGGGGCAGATATTTCGTTTCTTTTTCATCTTTTCACAATGAATTTGAAATGAGAGAAAACGACTTCTTTTTTCTTTTGTTTTGCAGGAAACCCATCTCTAGATTTCTTGCTGATTTGGTTAGATTTTTTGTATTAAGATTTTCTATGTAGTTCTATTTGGTTGTTGAACAACTTTTCTCTAAGCTTTTAAAATTTGAGTTAATTAGTTCCTTTGATTGCTTATATTTAATCTCCTTTCTGCATATCCTCTACATTGTTCATATTTATTGATTTGCTCGGCCATCTCTCTTTTACTGAAGTCAAATCCTTCGATTCAGGTGCTTCACTTAACTTTAGAGTTCTAAACCATAAGAAGAATGGCGTAAACTGTTTTCTTCAAATTCTTTGTAGAGCCAATTGAAAGGTTCACTGAACTGAGTTTAATCTATCTGAAAATTTAGAGTTAATTACTTGGCTTCACTGCATCTTATATTTTTATGTTCATAAGTATATCTTTGCCAAGATATTTGGATTGCTTACCATCCACGTAAGTAAATCTTTCGGCCTCCTCTTCTCAAGTCACCTATGTGGTATTAACAGCACAGTGACAGTCTTTATGCACTCTCAAATATTTTATGAAATTGGTCATACTGTAATGACTTTGTTTTATACTTTAGGATTGTAGTTGGAACATCTTTTAATACAAATAGCTTGCGGTGTTGAATAATCTTTAATATAACCCAGATCTATTGTTCTTAAAATTTATTTGACAAGAATATACAATAATCTATGTTATGGGTTAACTCGATGCGGCAATTCGATTCTCTCCGTAACAGCAGATCTATGTTTCTTTCTCTGGCCTTTTGTTCGTAATGGTCAGAGAATAATTAACAGCTACGGGAGTTTTTTTTTTTATGAGCGAGTTTCTTTTATGAGCTCTCTCAAACAAGCTATCAACGCATGTGTTTGAGATAGCCTTTACACCCTTTATTTTATTTTCTTTTCTGTGTCTACCATAAACTGTCGATTCTTTTAATTTTATAAGGCAGATGAAGGGTATTAAAATCCTAACCGGCTCTTATCCATTAAGCCCAATAACCATCATATCGGGTCACTTTAATTAGAACCACCTGGGCCACATATAGATTATTAAATAATCTAACATGCAGAACATGTAAGATTATTCTAGATGCTTGATATGTTATTTTCGATGTGTTGTTAAGTTTTGCTTTATTTGTTCTCTTTGAATTAGGAACCAAGAATTTCAAAGATTGTACATTCAAAATGACTTATGATATATAGTTATAGTAGGAAGATTACAATTTTGATATTTTGCAATTGACAATGCTCGAAAATCGTTAATTACAATACAATAATAGTTGCAATATATCTAAAAACTTGATGTTTCTTTTCACGCTTGAGAAGCATACATGATTTCCATAATTGTTTTAGACTGATTCACCAATTTTAGTTGATTTTAGATTTTCGTATGTGCAATTTTACAGAAATTTACACACACAACTTATAAATATACATATATATAATTATACTATTAATGTCGTAAACTGATGCAATGAAATATTTTATTTGTTACTTTAGACCACTCATATTTTTCTTTAGCCAAATGTGCTTGTATCAATTTTAACAAATGATTATTCTATAATAGACAAATTTGGTGTCGGATTTAAATTTATTTTTGCTAGCATTTGTCGGATTGCTTTGCCAATTTTCTTTAGTTGGATATTTTGTGAAATAACTATAATGTTGTGAATTGGGACATTGTATGGTAATTTATTTAATTTTGAAGATGCTTGAATTCATTATGGAGATTGAAATTAGTTTTAGTAATTTCATTATTTTATGTTTTGAAATCTGACTAATGATGATCTTAGTTGTTTTTTTAATTATTTATTTTCTATTGAATCTTCAATTATTGTCAACTGATAATGGAAAATGTGAGAGAAGTAGAATAAGAAACAGGTAATAATAGGATTTAAAACCATTTAAAAATCCGCAGAGCTTTGCTTGTTTATTTACTAATAATCCGCAAAAAACACAATTAAAATTAAGAAAGAGGTTTTTCAACTATTCCAAAGTAAAGAAAAATTTAGTGATATAGTATTTATGTGTTTAATAAAAGTGCTTTTATATTTATATTTTATTTTACTCTATATTGATTCTTAACAATATATACGATTTAAAAAGAAAATGAAATTGCTTTCAAATTAAAATGCGTGATAAATAATTTATTAATATAATTATTATATTAATTTAAATTTAATTATTTTCCAGATTTTACTTAAAATATTTTAAATATTATTATATTTTTAGTTTCAACATTAAATTATAAATCAAAAATTTTTTAATAAAAATAATTATTTAAATAATATATTAATATCTGCGTGTTTCGCGAAACACGAATATAAGACTACTTTAATATAATAAAAAATAGATTTTTTAATCGAAAATTGAATTAAACCCATTCATTTCTGTCGGATTTAGATAGTTATTTAAAAAATCTAGTCACCAATAAATCTGGATATAGAGAACCATTTGGTTTTCGATTTTGATTTGTTTACCATATATAACTAACCAAATTTATTTTTTAGTTTAAAAAAGCTAATCTGGTTTTAAAATAATTGAATTCAAAATAAAACAAATAAATTTGAAATTGGTTTTGAATAAATTTTCATGTTATACATAGTTTGTTTGGATGAAGGTAAAATAAAGAAGGATGTAAAATAGAGGGTGAAAATGTATTGAGTTTTTCAAAATCCCTTATTTGGTTTGGGTGAAAATGTGATGAAGATGTAAAATAATTTTATTTTACACCATTTGTGGCTTAATTTTTAGGCCATTTTGGGAGGAAAGTTGAAATAATCTAATTTTTTTTTATTTTCAAAACTTATACATTTAAAAATTTAAATATCAATTTTGAACCAATATTATTATAGTTCATTTTATATTTAAAATAGCAAAAATATTTTTCTATAAATTTAAAAAATCATAAATTATATCTTTAATAAATAAATTTACTTAAATAATTAATTAAATGGAATTAAAATAAAGCTCAAACTAAAACTTATTTAGTCAAACTCAAATATTTCAAACAAAAACCTGTTTACGCTTTGTTTGGATGAAGGGAGGGAGACATCGTTGAAATAAGGTATAGTAAGTAAGTGTTTTTTTTTTTTTGTGTGTTTATGGGAAAGTATGGTAAATGAAGATGTAATAATATTATTTTATTTGGTTTGATGGTAAAGGAAGATAATGTTAAATATAAATATTATGAAAATACTCTTTCCATGAAAAACTTATAAATATAATTATGGATAATTTTGAAAACTATCTTTTTTAACCATACTTACATCCCAATTCAGGATGTTGAAGACTCAAGTGTTTAGACGAATTTTCAACTTCTCAAATAACCTTCAAAAATCCGTACTTCTCTCAAACTCTCTTCCCAAATGACTAAATAACTTCTTCTACTTTACTTTACTCTCCCAACCTATCAAATAACCTCCGTTCAAACAATCTATTAGAGTATTCAAGATAGGGGTGGCCATATTACAGTTCCTAGAACCGAAACCGGTGGTTCGTAATAGGTGGGAACCGGAACCGAAATCGGTGGGAATCGGAACCGGATATTTCCGATTCGGTTCCGATTCCCTTATTGTTGGAACCGCAAACCAGATGGAATCGCCGGTTCTCTGGTCGGTTAGAACCGGCGGTCCTAGCCATTTGAACCTTTTAAATTTTTTTTTTTCTAAATTTTATTGGCAACTTAACTACGTGGGCTTTGATTCCTCTAAACCCAAGAGGATACGTAAGCAACTTATTTTTTTTTTAAATTAAGTTCAAGCCTTTTTTTTTTTTTTTAAATTATGTTAGGATTACGTAGCAATCTTATTTTTTTTTTTAAATTAAGTTCAAGCTTTTTTTTTTTTTTAAATTTGTTCAACTTTTTTTTAAAGACAAAAATACAATTCGTATTGAGAACCTTTTTTTTTTTAAAAAGATAATTAAGTTTCAAGTCCTTTAAAAAAAATAAATTTAATTGAAAGCATTTTTAATTTTTTTAAGGTTTTTTAGGTGTATTTTTTTTAAGAAATAACTTTCACAAATTTTTTAAATTTTGAAAACCGGTCTTCAAAATTTAAAATTTAAAATTATGCGATTCACCGGAAAATCGATTGGAACCGTCGGTTTTGAAACTGTTAAGGAATCAGAGCCGAAATCGGAACCGTTCGGTTCTAAACAGGAATTGAAATCAGAAATTTTTGATTCAATTCCGGTTTCAAAAAATTTGGAACCGAAACCGCCGGTTCCGGAACCGTGGCCATGCCTAATTCAAGAAAATCAACCCAAAAAAAAAAAAAAATCTGTCCAAACCAACTTGAATCAATTAAATCGAACCAAATCATTAATATTGGGAAGACAGGCTTGAATCGGGCCAAACCTCCCTTCCTCTTCCTCTCTACGTGATCTGTGATCGCTTCTCACCGCCAGAGTCTCCTCTCTTGCCATTGCCGGCCAAGAGCTGTCATCTCGAGCCACCCAAACACCATTCTTGACCTACCCTCAACACCTTAGCTAGATTTTCTTTCGTCCCTTGCTCTATTACACGATTGAGAGATGAGAGAGTTGTGATTGACAATCACCGATCGGAGAACTGCATACCCAGCCGATCCCATTACTATTGGCTATTTGCCTTCTCGACTCATATTTTCCTGTAGTGGCAGTTAAGAATTGCTTACCTTTCCTGGGACCCGTGTTAGTCTAGTATGACCTAAAACCCTAAACCCATATCACAAAGCTGGGTAAGCAATTTCTTTGTTCATATTTATCATTTTTGTCTTTTAGCAGTGACAAATGTGCAATCAAGACTATTAAGAATCCATTGAAACCCTTTTTCTTGTATTCTAACAAGAAAATTCAGGTATGCATATCAATTGTTTGGTGAAAGTCCTGATTAGAATTCAATTTATATTTATTGATAATCACAGGACCTGTATTTATATGCGTGAGCGGGAGTTGGGCTAGTCTTGACTGCTATTACTTCTTGGTATCATTCTTGTTTCAGCTTTTTTTCTTTTTCATTCAGATGCAAATAAGTTGTTCGAATCATTTTTTTTTTCTCATATTAAATGTATATATGCTTCTGGCCACAATATCTCTTTGATTTAAAGTTTTAAGTTTTTTATGCTACTATCAAGAAATGTTTTTGACTATGTTAGCATTGTAAGATCCTAAATAATGAATTTGTCTATTTTCGTAACGGTTATTCTGCCTTTGATGTTGCTTGGTCTTTAACATGAACTTGTCTTGACGACTTGATCTCTATGTTTGCACCTTCACCACCTACAGATTGTTTCTTATTATAACTGTTGTGTTGTCTAAATGCTAGCGTCATGATGGAAAATGAGAAAAGAGTTGAGCTTGAGAGTCTTCTAGAAGTCCTCCCGCCAGTAGAATTTTGCTGTGTCTATGGCTCAGCTCTTCATCCTAATAATCAGGACAAGGTTTTATTTTCTTTTCAAATCCTTCTCTGGAGTGCTTTCTTTCATTAGCTTTTCTTTTGTATAAATAACACGTATGATTTAAGTTCCATTTGTGAACTTGTGTTTTTTAGTCATCCATGGTGGATTATATTCTTGGTGTATCAGATCCCCAAAAATGGCATTCTGAGGTAAATATTAAAATTTGGATACATTTTCATGTTATATCTTCTCTTTTGATAAGTAATGCATCTGGTTCTGCTGTTTTATTTATCACATTGTTAAGAATCTGAAGTTGAATGGAGACCACTATGCCTCATGGATGAAGCACCTTGGTGGAGCAAAGTTGGTGCGTGTCGCTCCCTCCTCTCTCTGTCTTATTTTTCTTACCCTATATGTGGGACTGTAATTTGTTTATTATGCTAGATAACTGAAATTGCTGATGGGATTGGTGTCGGAGTGCACTTCAATCCATTCGTAACATGGAATGACAAGGTACTCATTACTCTTCCATTATATCAAGTCTTCAAGTTACTTATTATCCTTTGGCATGTTGTGATTAATCCTGGCACAATTTCCATTTATCAGTAAGATACTATAAGTTGTCATATGTAAGCCATGTCTGACAGATGCTCAAATATGGAGTTGTTAGAATGCATGACTTGGTTCAGGACGTAATGAATTGGGAGAGATTTTATTTGAGTGGTCGCCTACAAAAACCAGTACGTGTTCCCTTTATTAGTATGTCTTCGTATTTTGTTTTATTAATTTAGTTGCCTAATTCCTTTTTTTGTATTTTATTTTATTTTTTTTGTGAACTCTGTTGGAAACCAATTTATGATTGAACTTGTTATACAAGTATTACTGCCTATTTATATGAGCTTAAAATATACTGCTTTAGAGTTGCAAATAAATTAATTTTTTTAATAAATATAACTGTGACTTGGCTCTGTAAGTGTGGCCATTAAACTCATTCAATACAAGACACTTGACAGTGATATTCTTCTAAGTCCAGTGTTGCCTTCTATTATTCAGTTCTCACACTTTTCTTTTTATCAATGTCCTTAAAATGTGTTGATGGATATCTTTTTAGGCCTTCTAGACATGCAATGCTTAATCTAGGGTTTAATTTTTGTTTAGAAAGAAAGAGAGAAAAATGGGAGGAAAATAGAGAGAAACAAGACAAAGAGAAAGGGAGATTCACCGAAGAGAGAGAAAGAGTAAATTGAGATATTATTCATCAACATAATCTCTATTTAGTACAACTTTACACCTCATTTATATATCACTATCCAACGAAAGCCACATTAGCTTATGCATCAAGTAATAAATGCTACATCAGCAAAAACAAACTTAACAACAGTAATAGATTAAATGAAATTACAAATCAATCCTCAAACACTGCAACATGATTGCAAATCTAAACTATTCACAATGCATTTGGGTCCTAACAACCTTATCTTTTTAAAGATCATAAAAGTTTTTTGTTATCTGACAAAAAAAAACTGATATTTTATGTTTCTGTTCATTTTTTTGACACCTTGCTTCTTACAGTTGCTTGCTATTTGGGTCCATAGTTGCAGTACATTCTATTTGCCAGTTAATTCTGTTTGCAATATTTGCAATTATCATTAATTGAAATTTTTTTCGCCCAGGTTCACATACTAGTGGATAATTTGGATATGGGAACTGTTAACTCTGTGAATCTAAGGGCTGCACTTTCTGCTGCTCTCCTCCTTTTGCCATCCAAGTTTACAGAGGTTTGTTTCTTTGCCAAGCTCACCATTGTAGAAATAATAAATCCATCACACAGTTCTTTTTTCTTCAGGAGGATTTGTATTCCAAAATATGTGGCCTCTCTTATATGGGTGACTTGCGCACGCTTTTTGCAGAGGACAAAAATAAGGTGAAGTTTGGCACAGCTTTCTTCAAGTACTTGATCATAGGCTTTAATAATAATGGCAGGCTTCATACCTTCTATGCAATTGAAGGTTGAGAATAATTACTGGTAGCTGAGTTTCTTGGAAGCTTTGGCTTATAATTTTCTTCACCAAACTTAGTAATGCCTCAATCACATGTTACATGCCAAAAATGATCCTTTTTAATCTAAATTATTACTTTGAACAACCTTAATAACGTATTTATCATTTACAAGGTCTAGGTTTCACATTCACTCTGTCAATCATCCCCCTTTTCTTTTTTGAAATTCTTCTTGGCTCATCAAAATGTTTCTCTAGTGAACATTTTCATCTGTATTTTCCTGTGAGATTGCTGGTTTAAATGCCATTTGGCTAGAAGTTGGTGGATGGCCCATTGATAAATATCCACATGCCACAGGTAAAGAAGATTGTACAAGGGCAATTTGGTCTATTTCATTCCATGTACAAACCATTTCTCCAAGAATATGAGGCTAAAGAGCTGCTGAAGTTGTCATTGTTCAGTGGTCACCAAGAACACATCTCCCAGGTCTACTTAGACTTCCAAGTTCTCAATTTAAAGCTTGTTCAATTTTGCACCTTTAATGGGAATTTTCTATGTCAGAGCTTACGGTGTAATCTATTGTTGATCAGATGATTAAACATCTATTGCCTTCAATGCACTCATAATATCTCTTTAATGTCTTGTTTATCCCATTCATTCTTATTCATGATTTTGGAGGCAGTCAGCAGGAGACTTTTATCCCACATATCATGAAAACTTCATTTCTGGTTATGTATTTATGTGATGCAGAATCTCACGGAAGCGACCATTTGCAATTTTTTTATTTTATTTTATTTTATTTTATTTTATTTTATTTTATTATTATTTTTTTTTCCTGATGGTTTTTATGAAGCAATAGTAAACTTAGAAACAAGTTAAAAAATTTTACTGAATTAAGGGCTTCTTATGGGGACCATTGGGATCCTTTAACTCCTAGCAATGCTTTGGGATGTACTCCTAAACTAATTGTTATTTTTAAACTTTTGAGGAATCCTTAGTCACAAGGCAAAACATTGTCTTAGCTCATTACTTATTGCTTATGACATAGGATATTGGCAGCAATATTTTTTATGCATACATGTGAATCTATGTTTTACTACAGCCATTTCTATCTACATCTAGAATCCTTATGCATTCAGGTCTTTTAAAACCAGGATTGTGGTTTGCCAGTGACTCGTGCTCTTGTTCGTGCATTGCCACCACTAGTCAGAAGCAAAATGGGGATGAAGCTAGGACAGGAGAAACAGCTGAGTGATTCTGGTATTTGCCCTTTTTTTTTTTTGGTCTTTTGAATATTGTGCAATTCTCAAATTTGATATTTGTATTGTATCACAGTGTCTGGTTCCGAACTTCAATATGTGGCCCTTTTAAAACATGCTTTAGATATTTGGAGGGCAAGCCTGAGCCTGTCACATTTGTTTCTAACCAACTTTCAAATTTTATGTTTGACATGAACGTGAATATATAATAAGGTTACTTTTCTTTTTTACCTCAAATTGACAGGGCGAGTTTTACATGAGGTCATGATTGATTCAAGGGAAGAGGCTAAAAAATGTATGCAGAAGGTACTAAGGCGTACTGTGATGGTTTCTAGTGTGAGGCAAGCTGTCTCTGGGCTTCTGTCTGTAGGTGGTATTAACGCCACTAGATACCTTGCTAGTAAAATGAGAAAAGCTTTAAAATCATGGACATGAAATTGGACATATTTATACTTCTTTCCACCTAATTTTAGTACACAACTTGAAATGAGTTTGGCTAGGCTACAAGTTGTTCTTGGATAAGAGGTAGGGAATCTCGAAACTAATGGACATATTCCATATGCAATAGTTCAAATTTTATTTCAATTTTTTTTTTCCCACTTTGTAGAGGATTATTATTTATTTATTTTAATATCCCCTTTTTTACTCCAATTTTTTCATCTTGCTATGTTTTGTGGTTTGGAGGTGATGGCAATGAGAATGGTTTATTTTGCATTAACTATACTTTTGTTTGTCATGTTATCTTTTTCTTAGCTTAGCTATTTAACATTTGCGAAGATAGCTTATTAACTCAGCAACGGGTTAGTAACGCAGTGTCATGAAGAGCCGATTTTTATCTTAGCTTAGAGATTTAGCATTCATGAAGATAGTTCATTAACTTAGTTTGGCTTAATGACTGAGGTTTCACGAAGATAGCATATTTTTATCTCAGCTTAGTGATTTAACATTCGCGAAGATTGCCTACTGATTAAGCCTATTATATTGAACACAAGGCCCAATAAACTAAGCATTTAGGCCCATTCTTTTATTTGTTAAGCCCATTATTATTTCTGCAACGATATTCATTAAACGACATGGATTTAGGTTGAGTAGACAAAAACATTTAATGTTGCCCTTAATATATCTTTAAAAAAATCTTTAAAAAAAAAAAAAAAAAAAAAAAAAAAACTTGATAGAAAATGAAATACAAATTGTTTTTCATTTTCTACAAACTTCATTTTCAAAGGACAAAAGAGACAATCCAAGTTCATTCAGTGAAAATGATCTGGATCATCGTGATCTATTGACTTGGTGAGATAAGTCAATGCAAACAAATGCACTGAATAGTTACTGGTATTACATTAAGTCTATTGACTTGGTGAGATGAGTCAACAATGAAGTGATGTAATTGATATTTTTTTTTTTCTATATTTTGAAATATCACTTTCTATATTTTTCAATTGAAATTTCAAATCAATTGTTATTATTCACTTTCTAACAAAAGAATTAGAAATTTGAATATGCTAACATTTTAGTATTCTATGATTGGCTCAATGCACCAAGTACACTGAATAATTACTCTATAGCTCCAGTTTTTTCTTTTCCAACTGTTTGGGGCCAAATGGTTGACTAAGCACATGCTATGTTTCTACCACTCAAGTCAATTTTGGCAGTCCATTAATCTAGATAGGCATGGACATATATTTCCATTTCATTCATTGCGTGTGACTTTACTTATCATAAAAATCTAACTCATTAAATATTATTTGCACTTGATTTATATTTTTTTAATTTTAAATATTAATTTTAATTTTAATCTTATATAATTTAGATTTTTATAATATGAAAATAAAATTTACACGCCTCAGTTCAAATTATATTACCATTTATCTAAAATTCATTATAACTGTACATGTATCATTTTACAATATTACCTAATAATCAATATATATAAACATATGGATATAATGATAAAATATTATATATATCTTTAAAATTAAAATTTTTAACTATTCATCATCTTACACATATGTTCATTTTATTTAAAAATAAATTTTAAAAAGTAGAAATTTTAAGATTTTTGAAAGAATTAATCATGTATATCCTATTTGAAAATTTATTCTTTTAAAAATATATCCAATCAAATTATACAAATATAAATAAAAAAAGAATATTATATTAAAAAATATACTTTTTTTTCTCTCTCCTAAATAAAATATTTTAAATTATAATAAAAACACACTATAAAAAAATCGGTAATTACCCACAAAATGCACCGACGCAGCTATTCCGTTGGTAATTACTGACCACTTACCAACCACTGACAACCAATATAAATAATGAGATTTGAAATAATGAACTAAAATTGAAACCACAGATTTGGGTTGCCATTACGTTGGTAAATTTCTCGCCTAGATATGACAGGAGTTGGTACCTACGGAATTCCAAACACTGATCGTCGTTAAAAAATTTTAGTATATATTTTCATTTATTAAATGAAGTTACCAATGAAATAAATATTTTTACCGACGAAAATAGGGTTGGTAAATGCTAGGGAAAGTATCCTTTTTAAGTTTGCAATTAGAAAACTTTGCAACTCTCATTTTCTATTTCACGCTCTCTTCTCTTCTATCTCTGTCTAAGGATTTATAAAAATAATTGGCCCAAGAGAAGACTACCACCGCTCCTCCTACTGTGGACTCCAGTGATTGGTGGTGTGACTTGTAAGGTGGTAACTCTTTTCTTATTTTTCCTCCTTATT